TCCCTTTTTTTACCTCTGAGGACAGCTGCTGTCAGAGAGATTAAATGGCTCTCCTGCAATCAAATGCCTTTAAATTGATAGGGCCCCTGTGTCTTCCTCGCATTTCCCCAGCTGCAGACTTTGATACTAGGATTCAGTCATTTGGGGGTAACGCTTAGAAACCCCAGCAAGGAAGCAGGAAGGGGTGTAGGAAGGGAAAGTGTTAATAACGGTGATTTAGAAAGCCAGGTAACACCTTGGCAGGGGTCAGGGGTTCTTCTTGGGGAAAACTCAGCATGAGTCTTGGCATTCCTGCACTAGAGGGCCATGGGCCCCAGAGACCCCCATTCCCGTCAGTTCTGAGTCGAAGGCCACAGTAGGGCTGGGGAGGAGAGATATGCATTCTCTGGCATTTCCAGTCTGCCGCAAAATGAGACATGGGGTCCAGAGAAAGTTCTCAGGCAAAGGAATGTGGGTATGAGAGGTGGGCATTTGGAAAGCTGGTCAGCATGCACTAAAGTGGGGACATAGTTTGGGTACTGAAAATCTGTGGCACAATTCCAGGACCCCGGTTCTGAGTTCCTACACTACAGCACACTGGGTGGAGTTAACTTGAACTCCAACGGACTAGCAGGTGAAAGGCCCCCAGTTGATGGTGGATAGAGCCAGTAAAGCCAGGGAACACTCTGGAACTCCGCGCAGAGGCCTCAGAGATCCCTCAGAGATCCCTCAGGCTCTAGGCCTATATCTCTTTCATCACAGCACACACTTCCCGTAATTCTTCCCCTCACTCTGGAGTCTCAATACCAAAGCAAGACATACCATGTTGAGCAGGCTATTAATTTGAAAGTGTCAAGTTTAACTAGGGAAATAAATGAGACCCCACAAAATGAGAACTTAGTGAGGCATGAGGTATTGAGCAAGGTCAGGCACTTAGCTTCAAACAGCTGGATTAATTAGGGTAACATCATTTGTCTTGGGACTTGGGGGGCCATCTGACTCATGGAACTTTGACAAAAATGAACGGGTCATAAGTTTGGGGAATCTGATATTTAATGACTTAGTTTTAGGGTTAAAAAGTTCATAGCAAGTTTATCTTAACAAATTGTTCTCAGTGCGAGGCTGTGCAGCGAAGGGAGGAAGAGATTCTGGCTTTCCCTTCTCTTCCTGGCTTTCTGCCTTCGTCAGACGTGTGTTTTGGTAGGCGCTGTGGATTTAAATATCACCGTCATGGTTCAGGTGCTCAAGGATTTTCAGAATCTAGAAGACAGATACTCAAATAAGGGCACATTAATTAATAAGTCAGGGGACCCTGGCACAAGGTATCAGCCTCTGTGAGTCTCAGATTCATCTAGAATGACCTTGATAAACCAGCTCAGTGGTGGCCCATTAGAAGTACATGGGGAGCTTTGAAGGAACGCCAATACCTTGGCTAGCCCTATGGCTATGGGGTAGGACCAAGCATTGGTATTAAATTTTAAAAGACCCCAAGGAGATTTTAACAGATTCCAATGTGTGGGCCAGGTTGGGAACCACTGGAAGATAACCTTCAAGTTTTTGATAAATCCTGTTTTTTCCTCAAGCAAGCTTGCTCTCTGTTTAACTCAGCAGAAGATGGGCCATGGGAGCTAAAAAGCATGTTCCTTTATCTTGGACTGGCAAGAACGCAGCATGAGGGCAGAGGGGCTCTGGGCTAGGTGACGAGATGCTAGCTAGCACGTGGACTCTGAGTGAACAGCTTACCTCAATAGGAAGCACAGAACACTCATTCCAGAAATAACAGGTGCCCACATCCCCCCCCCCCAGGAGACACATTCATAGTGCCAACAACTAATTATCATACCAAGAAAACAAAAACTGTGAGGGAAAGCAGAGGCGGCTGGCAGCACCATTGAGTTGTACAAACCATGACTCACTTGTGTTCTGGGCTGAAGTGTCTTCGTAGCATCTCTCTGAGAAGTATCTGGTGGTTCTTTTTCCAAGGAAAGAAGACAACATACTTTGTCATGGGACTGAATGGAAGGAGAGCTCTTCTCTAATCTCCCACATCCTGTGGTTGGCTTCAGACTACACCTCCCATTGAACTTTTCATCATTGGCACCGAGAACAGTTGGCTTTCACATCCCTGTTCTGGCTTGTTCACTATACTAACAACTTCTTCTGTTACGTAGAAGGCAGCTAAAGGATGAGCTTAGAGGCTGGCATCTTTCCTTTAAAGTAAAAGCCACTTTACGTTTTGCTAGGGACAGTCTCCTGTAAAAATAATTTTCTTCTAAGTAATGACATAAGACCCATTGGCACCATCTCGACACGGTTAGCTTGGATCCTGCCCCTTGGGGCCCTTTCTCTGACATACAGTTGACAAAACTTGCTCTCTAGGGGCGCCAAAGTGAAATGATGACCTCACCTTGGATGAGTCTGAGATTCTCTGAAGGCTGATGGAGACTTTAGAACCTACTGAGGGGATGAATCGAAAGCATGTATAAATCATTTGTACTTTTCCTTGCTGGCTGTAATGACAATCTTAATTCATCTAATGGAAAGTCTACAAAAAGCCACAGAAATTCCCTTTTTTTTTCCTTTTAAGCTGATACATTTCCTATTTCATCTTTTGCAGCAGGTCTGGTTTAAGAGAATTTTGGAAAGTATAGTGACCACCGGGATCATGGAACTTCACTAAGAAGAGGGATTCCCAATTTAAAAGACAGAGGTCTGAGATTCTCCAGATAAATAAATAAATAATAAATAAGACAGAGGACCTCATCTTCCCGGTAAAGACATGGGGTGGGGGTTAAAACCTGAAATAACATAACCCCTTCCTGCCCTGCCACCCCCCTAATTAGCTTCATAATATGTGATGTGGCCAGGCACCAAGAGCATTCAAAAATGGGAACAGAGTTTTCCAACTATATACATAGATACATTTTATTTTTTTACAATGGTCTAGCTAGAGTTTATTCAGTTCACCAGATTTCACATGCGTTCATTTGTGTATGTGTAGATGTGTACAATTTTAGCACAGATCTAGATTCATGGACTTTACCACCACAGTCAAGATACAGAACAGTTCCATCAGCACCGGAACTCCCGTGTCTTCCCTTTAGAATCATACAGATCCCACATCGTTTCCAGTCCCTGGCCCAACCAACTATTCATCTGTTCTTTTTCTATCATTTTACCATTTCCAGAGTGTTATATAAATGACTTTCGGAGATTTGCTTGTTTCATTCACCATAATACCCCTGTGTTATTTCCAAGTTGTTGTACCAACAGTTATGACATCTGGGTTGTTTTCAGTTTTTGTCTATCATAAATATAGCTACTGTGAACATTTGTGTGCAGGTTTTTGGGCCAATATAGGTTTTCATTTCTCTGGCAGAAATGTCTGGGAGTGCAATTGCTTAGTCATATAGTAAGTATATACTGTCTCTTTAACTTTATAAGAAATTTCCAAACTCTTTTCCAGAGTGGCCATACCCTTTTACATCTTTTTAGCCATTCTGATACATTATTATCTAATTGTGGTTATGATTCACATTCCCTGATGACTTAGCAAGTTCAACATCTTTTCTTATGGTTACTTGCCATCCATATATCCTCTTTAGTCAAATGTCTACTCATGCCTTTTGCCTATTTTCTAATTGGATTATTTATTGTTAAGTTTTGAGCACACTTTATAATTCCAGATTGATCAGCTATATGGTCTGCAAATTATTTCTCTCAATTTGTAGTTTGTCTTTTCTTAAATTTTTTTACAGAAAAAAGGTTTTTTTTCTTTTAATAAAAAGAATTGCATTTACTTAAAAGCGTTCAGAATGTCAACAAAACAGCTGCAATTTTTTTTTTTTTTTTGCAATTACAGAGTGGTATTCAGTTAACAGAACAACAATTATTTCGTATAAGCTGCATCAGAGACAATTGAAGGTGAAAAAACTACCATCCGCATATATAACTAATTTGTGCTGTGTACCAACAAGAACCTGCTTTAAATTTCCATGCCAATTTCCAACCCCCATACTGTACCAGGCAAGGTTAGTGGCTATTGAAAATACCACCAGGACAGGGCTATCTAAAGACACAGTAGATAGTGTGTTAACTATACGAAAAAAGACACTGTACAGTTTAAGAACAAATCTTACACAGCTTTACATTTCAATTTTTTTCTTTAAAAGGAGTGAGTTGTGTACAGGGGGGTTCAATGCTTTATAGACAAGAAAGAAAAAAAGGTTTTTTTTTTTTTTTT